CTCCCACTACCACTACCACTACTACTACTACTACTACTACTACTACTACTACTACTACTACTACTACTACTACTACTACTACTACTACTACTACTATCATGGTCATTTTCTCGTAATCTGTAAACTGTATCGCCAGAAGGGTCACTCAACTCTTCTCCCTTTTTTTACCACAGAAACTTCAAAACAAGCCCAAGTTCCAGTTTTCTCAAGTAATCACGTCATCATCACCATAGAAACAAAACCTTTGTGAATTTTCACCATAGCAGCAGGTTTGAGCAAGACGAGGGACCTGCTAATAAATTAACTCTAAGCCACCGGCGTACGTCAAGGATGAATTCGTCTGACGTAAATCGTCAAACCAGTTTGTGGAAAGATGAACAAAGACCTAATGGAACCAATATCAGTGCCATCGCTGGTGAATTGGCGGGTAAAGCTCATGTTTTGCCATGTGGTGCTACTTCCGTTACAGGTCTTTACCCCCCTGGAGAAGCAGCATGTGTGGATATAAAACCGTTACCAGATCACAAACGAGCAGTTTATCACAGTTCGGAGGTAGCGCTAGTCTGCCAAGAACCGATTCTACGAGCATCTGTTGATTCTTCGACGAATGTTGTGTCTACAGAAACAGATACGTTTGTGCCGGCAGTGGTTAAACAGAGGTTTGGGGAGGCTTGTTCTTCTACAAAAGTGGTGAAAATATACGACGGTCCTCGCGGTTTTTGTGGCCCAGAAAATCGGGAAGAGAACGAAGTGAAGGGTATTAATTGTGGAATCCCCGATATTTTGGAGCCCGCGGAAATCAAGGTGACAGAGCTGGTTGCTGGTTTGCTTAAAAGCAGCTCCAAATTTTATCCAAATGTATCGGAAACAAGGGAAAATCATGGGAGATTCGTAGGGTCATCTGAGAACAACTCTGAAAGCTACTTCCCAGAAATACTATTAAACAACGAGAAGATTTCACTGAATGACCGAGGTCTGGAAAGCATAAGTCCAGGGACTGCGGTTAAAGTAGACCCTGAATGTCTTTCTAAGGACAATTTACTGAATCCATCTGGCCCCGGAAAAAGAATCAAGAAAACGTCTAAAGTAAGATTTGCCTCTGATGTAAAAGACGCATCTTATGATAACCTAGTTTGTTTGAATCCAGAGCCCTTGTCGTGTGAGGTGAAAGGCAAAGGAATATTAAAAAGACATTCTGAAATACTGCGACCACTGTGCTGTTCTGGGGAACACAGCGAATCAAAATCAAATACATCACAACGTGTGTGTTCACAGCATCGAAGAGCTGTCAGTGCCAGTGTCTTGACAGACAGAGAAAGGTGCGCGCTGGGGACACTTCCCTGCGCTTATACGTCGTCGCTTGGAGGTAGGGCTGATTATTTCACTCACAGGACAGGTCAGGAGTTGTTTGGAGTTGGTCATGGTAACCGACTCACACAAGGACTGACAAATCAGCAGAGTTTTCAATTGCAAAGAGAGGTTACTAGCGGAGAAAAGGTAAGGAGTGAGCACACCAGTCAAGTAGGACAACATTTCAGCCCGTTTGGCGGAGAATATGTCCGGAATGCTGTAGTTGAGGACTGTGCGTTATACTCTGCTCTAACTAACCACGGCTGTTTCTGTACCGCCGTCGCTCACACCCACATTCAGCAGAAGACGGGGGAAAACTCAGCACAAAGAACTGTCCCCCTCTGTGAGCGACCCTCAACCATAAGCCGTAATTCATTAGGCGCATTTGATGCAAGTGTGTCGGACAACCTGTGTGTTGTAGAACTTGTAGCGATCTACACACATCTAACGGAGTGTGCTTTCTTGGACTTGTCTTCGTCTTTTGGCGACTTTTTCTTGGAGACTGTGCTCGTTGTTTGTTCCGAGACATCCCGCGGTTTGAAAGCAGCAAACAGGAACCTTGGTTTAGATTATCTTGATCTTTGTGAGAAGACTACAGTTGAACTTGACAGTGATAACAACCGCGGTGAGAGTGCTTGGCGAAACTCGTTGAGCGAAGGGTTCTCTGATGTTTCGTTTTACTCTAAAGTAGACCAAGTTTTTGACCATGTGTCCCTGCCTTCCCTAGACACGAAGTCGCCGGGTAGAACGGAAATTGAAGAAGAAAAGAACAACAGCCCCCAACTCCAACCAGAAACACACGCAACCAATTTCTGTACCACAGCGGAAACAGCGTCGTGTTATCAGCACACGTCTGATATAATGGAAAGGAGACGTGAGAGACACGCGGAAGATCTGTCGAGGAGAGTTGGAGAGAGAGGAAACACAGCCGGCGTCAGTCCAAACTCAAGGGTGTCACGAGGGAAAGACGGTAAGGTCCCAAGTGCTGTTAATCCGCCTCGCTTACAAGTAGTTAATGAAGTTGAACATCCGTGTGTCGGGTCTGCGATTGCGCAATTAGAGAAACAACTCAGTGGCAATGCCAGACGCGGCAAGGGAGACGATCAGCGCTCGACGACAACCGTAGACCGTCATAGCTCTGAACCAGGTGTTGTACGTCGCTCTTCAACAAATGATGCCAATGCAAATGACGGCTTAACAAAGAAGACTCCCAAAGCCGTACGTGCGCCCAGCTCAGTAGCAAAAGGACGAGGTGAAACAGGAGGCCAGAGCATCCCTCAAGCTGGGCGTTTCGTCGTCACACATTGCCAATCGCCAACGGACAACGAGAAGTCCAACTCTGATCTGTCTCCTTCACGACAAGAGCATAAAAGCAGCTTTTTTCCTCGGCCGGTCTCTCCTTTAGCAAAACAGGAAGGCTTCGCAATCGAGGTGGTTGTGCCACCTGCTGGAAGGGTTTATGCCCCTCTCTCGTCTTCTCCCGTGAAGCAGAACTCCCCCGTGGCAGCTGTGACAGGCGTTCTTCAAGCTGGCAGGGTGTACTCCTCGCAAGCGCCTTCTCCTATAACTCCGAGTCCGACTTTCACTTCTTGCTCGTCCCCCGTCTCGCCAGTTGGCAGAATTTACGGCCCCATATCGTCAGCTCTGACTTCTCAGGACGGCATCAACACGCCTAACACCAGCGGACTGCCAGCTGGCAGTGGGACGGTATCATCATCATCGTCAGCAGCAGCAACAGTCAGATCTAGCAGCCCGCAGCGTGCAGGAATCTCTGCGTCTCCCGGCACTAGCCCCACGCCATCGCCCACAGTCTACAGACGTCTCGGTCTCCGCCGAAACTTCTTCGCTGGACACCTCAAAAACATACCTGACGTCACGTCCGTCCGACGCACACCGTCCCCCCTCAACACACCCAGTACCCCTTCGTCTGTGTCCACCACCTCTAACGACCTGACGCCAGATCTGTTGGCTGGCGCCACAATCCCAGAAGCTATAGACGAGAAGGCATCTATAGCTCAGCGCATCTACTGGAGGGCAGCCTCAGACCTCCACTCCCAGGACGCAAACAGGATACAAAACGCCAAGCTCATGCTGCGAAGACTCAAAGAGGTCAGAGTTAAGGTTTTAAGCTTAATGTGTGTCTGTTTGTTTAAATCACTTGGTACAGACTTATTTGTTTGTTATTTTGGTCTTTTGCTGCTGTTTGTTGCTACTTACGTTGTTGCTGTTATTATAGTAGTTGCTGTTGTTGTTGTTGTTACTGTTATTTCTGTCTCCGGTTTAGAGTGGCGCATCGCTTTTTGCAGTTGTTTTGTTGGTCTTTAGTTGTTGATACTGTTATTGTTTTTGGTTGTGTGTTTAAAAAATAGTTATGTTCTTTTTGTTGCACTGGTTTCTATATTTTGCTGGGTTTTGCTGTTGATGTGTTGATGTTGCTGTTCTCGTTGTTGCTGTTGTTATTTTTTGCTTTTGTGTGTAGTGTTGTTGCTGTTGTTGTTGATGGAAGGCACCACTTTCAAGTCAGCAGACTTTTTTCTGTTAGTTTTATTATACATTTTCTAGAGTACGAAATAACCGTTGACTACTTTATTGTTGTTGTTGTTATTGTTGTTGTTGTTGTTGTTGTTGTTGTTGTTGTTGTTGTTGTCTGTCTGTCTGTCTGTCTGTCTGTCTGTCTGTCTGTCTGTCTGTCTGTCTGTCTGTCTGTCTGTCTGTCTGTTCACCCATCAATTTGTTTTGTCCGAAAAAAGACTATTATAAAACGGAATGCGGACAGATGTTCGGTTACTTTTTCAAACACTATCATAATTTTTTTAGACCGTGCATGGATAGAACTTGAGAGGATAAAAGAAGTTATTTTAATTTTGTTGTCTCCAGAGAATTCGTTAACAATATTTGGTAAGTTTCAACCTGAACGTATAATTGTTTTCGCCTATGTATATAAGTTGACATGAACAACGTTTCCTCGTGTTAGTGTGTGTATGTGTGTTTGTGTGTGTGTGTGTGTGTGTGTGTGTGTGTGTGTGTGTGTGTGTGTGTGTGTGTTTGTGTGTGTTTGTGTGTGCGTGTATGTAAACATGCGACATTGTAAAGGTTTAACACCATTCAAACAGTGCACTGTACGGTTATTAAAAGGAAATTCAAAAGAATGTAATATGTGAGGCAGCGTGATGGAATCAGGCTCTCGTCAAAATAATCAAAGTGAAGAAACTTGCATTTTTCCGCAGGTTTGTGAATTTTTAATGAATTTTTGTTTTTTGGCTCAACACCTTTCTAGCCCATTAAAGAACTCATTTCGGAGTCGATTTTTCTGAAAAACGTTGATTAAAGGCACAAGAAATGTAAATTTTCAGTTACCACGGACTCTTAAGCTAACGAAATAACTAAGCTTTGGCAGCCATTTTCTCACTTATTTTACCTCTGAAAACAGGTGACCCCCACCTCCTCCTTTCGCAAATATTTCGACTTTTATTCAAGACAAATGGGTATTTTGTTTATCCAAATAAATACAAGTGAACAAGCTTTAAGATGATACCAATAACTCTACATGCCCAAAAATTGACGAGAGCCTGATTCTATCACGCTCCCTCACATATTTGCTCCCGACAGTAGCCCTAAATGATCTACATTTTGTCGATATTTAAATTTTAAAAAAATTCTTTTCTATGGGGGATTGTATAAAATACTAACATTAAAAATAATTTATGCTATAACAAATCTCTAGTAAAACATCTAATCCACAGTACTTCTATGTTCTAATTGTGTTGCAAACGCCTTAAAACTCTTACTACACATTAAAGAACAACTCAGCAGCTTCCGCTTCTCGTCCTTGCTACGTCACATATTTATGCAAAGATAACCTGATGACCTATAAAAATATTGACGCCAGAGGGACGATGGTGTGGTGCTTTTTTGTTTTTTGTTTTTTACTTTTTTATTTTTTTGTGTTTTTGTTTTTTGTTTTATTTTGTTGTTTCTTTTTAGGGAGGTGAAATATTAATGTTCTTTCCTTAAGTTTGTGAGCGCTGGGTGCTGTTTGAGTTGCGAGTGAGAGCAATGGGCTACGGGATTAAAAATAATTAAATGTGCGCCAATACTAAAAAAGCCACGGTGATTTGATCGCGTACTTTAACACGAAATAGATTCAGTTACAACGTTGTGGTAGTAAAGCTAAAGAATGGCAAGTGAAGGAGTCAGCTTCCGTACACTTCTTTTTTTGGAAATTGTTATCAGGTAGGAGATGAATAATAAGTTGATAAAACCAGAAAGAGTCATTCATTAATATTACAGGCGATTTTACGCCCCCATTGACACAGCTCAGATTATTTGGGCTATGGGGCAGGATTTCAGTCCTGCTTGTCAGGACCAACTCAAGCTGAGAGGGATGCAATATCCCGGCAGAACGACTTAGACACTCAATAAAAATGTCTCCCCACTCGGGAATCAAACTCGTGTCTCTTGCATGCGACAATGAGGTGCCGAACTGCTACATCACAGACGCCAGTGGAATGAGGTGCACTGTATGATGAATACCTTCTCTCCAACTTCTTTTTCCACCCATTTCCTTCTCAATCATTAACAATGACATCGCTTACAAATTAGTGACGGCCAAATATGCAAACGTGGGAGGGACACTTCGACAATATATCTGTTCTTATTATTAAAACTGGGCTCATAGGTGGACTAAGGAACGCAAGGTTTTGAGAAAAATTTTCTTTGCAGTGGAAAGGTGTGCTCTTACGTCGGATTGTGTTCTTACGATTTAGTGTTTTTAGTCAGAAACCCTTTTGACAATCACTCAACGGGGCGGAAGTACTGACTGAAGTGTCTTTAGGCCATTCCCAAATGGAGGACATTAACATGTTTTTATGCATAGTAGAATCGTAAATGGGCTGATATTCATCAATGTCATGCTCATAAATGTGCCTGAATTGCAACAGGGAACTGCTGCTTTTTCTTTCCTAATCCTTACTATCGTCATTTTTCCTCTACTTCTTTAGTATGTTTGTCACACTCTTATGACCCGGTATTTCCGGGGTGCTTTGTTGATAGTCGAAGCAGACTTCGTGCTGTTGAAGCTAAAGAGGTGAGCAGAGTAAGCCTGATTCCCTGTATGGACTTCTCTGTTGACTTCCACGTCTTGGCGTTCATATGAGCTCATGCAGTTGCGAACGCCGTAATAACTCTACTAAAACTAAAACAATTTGACGATATGTGTGTTAATGTGTGTGTGCGTTTGTGTGCGTGTGTGTATATGTGTGTCCGTCTGTGTGTTTGTGTCTGTCTGTGTGTTTGTGTGTGTGTGTGTGTGTGTGTGTGTGTGTGTGTGTGTGTGTGTGTGTGTATGTGTGTGTAAAAGTCTCCGTACGCGTGTGATAAGTGATAGTTTATCAATGAACTAAGACTCTTAGGGTCAACAAGGTCTGCCATCGAGATAACACGCTGAGATAAGGTCTAGTAAAAAGCTCTTAACACAACTACAATAGCCTTTCGAGGCAAATTATCTCCCCTATTAAGTCTCAATATGACGTCAGCAGCAGATTAATTAATATCACTCAACTTCATTATCGCCTTTTCTGACTAAATAACAAAAAGCGAACGTTTCTGTCCAACTTTGAAATGTTGAAGGGACTGTAATATTATTTCGCTTTTTATCCCTCTGGAAGTGGTTTAAGATAATAGGCTTACGAAAGTGACAGTAATATCAGTGAACTATTTTCTCGAAAAATATAGCATTACGTTGCAGTTTGGCACTAGACAAGAATAATGAGCTTCGCACTAGAACGTTGTGCATGTCTTCATGATTTACTTTGCTAAATTCAGATCCCGAGTGAATTTTTCATTAAAATTAGCCCACCAACGTGGTCGTCTCGGATATTCTTAGATAGCCACCCACTGACATCGGCATTGTAATTATCGACCCGCAGTAAACGATACATTCAAATAAAAGCAAGAACAGACCGATATAGAAACCGAGTGAGGTATTACTGAGAGAGAGAGAGAGAGAGAGAGAGAGAGAGAGAGAGAGAGAGAGAGAGAGAGAGAGAGAGAGAGAGAGAGAGAGAGAGAGATAGAGAGAGAGAGAGACGCCTATACTTCATGGTTCTAATGAGGATTTCCTATAATGTTCATTTTGTAAATAGAAGCTTTTTAGGAGATTCTTTGCATTTTTTTTTGTTTTCGAAGTAAGCTATTCTTTAGACTTAATAGCAGCTTACCCTTTTTTATTGATATGATATGTGAAAACTGGGAAGTTTTTGGGGTTGAATCTTTGGGTAAGTTTTAAACCTTGCAAAAGCAATAGCAAACTTGGCCCTTACGCATAATATTTTTTTGAAAAATTGAGGTAAACTAAATTAAAATAAACAAGGTGTGTTTATATAACAACTTGAGCATCATTCGTACTTTCGAAACATATCTCTTGGACCTTTATTCTATTAATCACAGAAAAAATAACTGTTCTTTCTAAATTATTAGTGTTAGTATTGAATTTATAACTAAAATAGGTGGGTGTTTGGCTGGTGCTCTTGTGTGGTTTGCTTCTTCTTTCCTATGAAACATATAATTATCGTCCTTATCTCTCCTTCTTTTTATGTTTGTTACTCTCTTGTAACACTTCGAATCTTCTGGCGCTCATATGACCTTACTCAGTTTCGAGCGCCGTAAAACCTCTAATAAAACTAAACTGTCTAAAATAGTCAATGGCATTGGTTTAAAGCCACTTTCTAAACAATGTATGGTTATATTTGAGATCATTGTCGTCACGGTCTAATGCCAATCTGAGTGCCCTTCGACCAGGCTTTTAAATATAATATTTCTAAAAAGATTATTTCTTGGTTCTCCACCTTGTGTACTTCGTCCTATCTGAAACAAACGTTACACTGGAAGCTCCTATAATAGACAAACGTCCAGTATTTAGAAAGGTATTAAACCTGTACCCTTCCCTTAACACATTGACCTTTCCCTAAAATTAACAAGTATCTTTTCTTCGCCAAGCTCTATGGGGGTTAAAGTTAAACTTTTAAATTTTGCGTATAGGCTTGACGGCAAGACTTACACAGTTGCGAGCGCAGTAAAACTTTTACGAAAATAAACAGACGGCAAGAGTTTGAATCCCAAGTAGGGAAGCCTTGTATCTAATAATATATCCAGATTATCACACACAACCTGGGATGTCCCTGCCAGGCAGAACCAATAAACCCGCTTCTTATTTCTAAATAATCAAAATTGTGTTGCGTCAATTGAGACACAACATGCTTTCGATAAACATTATCATTGCATCACTGCCTTTCTCATCCAAACGATTACGCACGAAAAAAGAAATAATTGCGGGTGGTATGCAGGTGCTCTGGTGTGGTTTGCCGCTTTTTTCCTATCAGACATCTATCCTCCTGATCTCTCTTCACCTTCTATATTGTGATTGTTTCTCTCTTGTAACACCTCTAATCTTCAGCACTTGTATGAGCATAGAGTGTTGCAAGTGCCGTAGAATTATTATTTAAACTAAACTGAAATAAAACTTAAACTAAACTGAGACAACACTGAAACAAACAACACATCATTTCTCTATCAGGCGGGATTCGAACCCAGAACCAAGGCCATGTCCCACCCAGTGACCTCCTGTCCATCATCCCCCGAGCTACCTTCCATCACCATCACCCGCCCCGCCATCCTCACCAGCAACACCGGGACCCGCAGCCCCAGTCCTAGGAGAAGTCTGAGCCCCAACAGCAACAACAACAGTAACAACAACAGCAGCAACAACAGCAACAACAACAGCAACAACAATAGCAACAGCAACAGCAATAGTCGTTGTGGCAGTGGTGAATGGTCAGTTGATGCAGGGGCCGCAGTGAGCAGTGGTGGGAGATCCAAGGTGTCCAGCAATACGGAATTGTTTGTGGACAGTATCGATATTAAGGAGCTCAAGGACGGGTTGAACAAGTGTTCGAAGACTTCTCATAAAAGCAGGTATTATTTTTATTGTTCATATGTGTGTATGGTATGGCCATTCTGTGAAAAATGAAACAGTAGTGACTTACAAAACGTTGAAATGGCGATCTGCTGAAAACATTCTATATATAAAAGAGTAACTTCTTTGCCAAAAATTAACTAATTCATTCATTAATTTATTAATTTATTAATTTTTAGATAAATTTAATTAATTAATCTATTTATTCATTCATCTATTTCTTAGTAGGCTACCTTCCTCTAACAACCCCCTCCCCTCCGCTCCAATAACCGCCTACTCCACAGTAAATAGCTCCATCACTATTTATTATATTTTTTTTCCCAGCAGGTCATCATATCTGCCTTTCATGTGTTATCAAAATCTCATTTATCATTGAATGACCCATTTCACATTTTACTTTCCATGCCCACTTTTAATGTCAAAAGTACAGTGTTCGAACCTTGTTGGTGCCGGCATGTCTAATTCATTATTATAATTCTTCTTTCACTTCTGCTTCTTATTTCAACTCCTCTATCTCTCATCATCCTCTTGTATGTTTTGTCTTTCTTTCCCAGTAAAACAACATGAACAATAAAATCTCTTTCGTTCACTCATTCGTTTACAGAATCTACTTCTTCCTCCAGATCTCCGATCTTCAGGAAAGTAAGATCAAGCGCCTTGTCCTCTCAAATTAGTACGAAACATTCTCGTAGGGTCCATGTGCTCGTTTCAGCTGTTAGACCCCAATCCAGGCAAAATTAAACATCCTTAAAATGTCCCAACATATTAAAGAATGTACGTATCATATTTGTAAAATAATTAGCCATCTCTTATACCTTACACGATTGCAAACAAACTGACCGTAATATCTCTCCTCCAGATCTCTAATCTTTTGGCTAGTAAGATCGAGCACTTAATCAACTCAAATTAGTACAACAAATTAATTATCGTAGTGCCCATATACTCGATTCAGCCTTTGTAGCTGACAATCGTGGAATAATAGAAGACCCTTAGGCCATCATCGAGGAAAAATTGAAAATTAGAATAATGACGTACCATATTATAGAATTAATACCCCTATCGCATTTGTAACATAATAAGACATCGCTTATGCCTACTTTGATTCCAAATGTACGAACCATGTCTCTCCTCAGACTATCAGGGTCCTACTCCGATCCAAATTTGTTTAAAAAGCAACAAGATCTGTCGTCATCGCCGTTGCTTGACGCTATGGACACAGGGAACGTATCCCACCGGAAGGACTCCGTCTCCCGGATCCGGAAGCGCTCCTCGATTCCGATGTCCTGCTCCAAGAGACGAAAAAGTAGTGTGACGTCACAGCAGCTGCGTATGCAAAGGAGGCACAGGTAAGTTGTTGCTAATATTAGGGTTTATATTTTTTACTCATCCATGTATAACATGTATGTATATATGTATCTTTCTATCTAGATACCTATCTTTCTATTTGTCTAACTGTCTGTTTGTCTGTCTGTCTGTCTGCGTGCCTGTCTGTCTGTCTGTCTGCCTGTCTGTCTGTCTGTCTGTATGTCTGTCTGTCTACCTATTTATCATGTGTTAGTGTGTATGCGAGCGGGTAAACATGTTTGTGTATTTGTATAAGTGTGTGGGTGTATGTGTGTGTGTGTGTTTGTGTGTGTGTGTGTGTGTGTGTGTGTGTGTGTGTGTGTGTGTGTGTGTGT